GGGCGTGTCAGACTAGATGATCCGTTCAGGTCCCTTCTGACCCCAAACTACTATGAAACTATGAATTATACTTTGGTTTGTAAGACCTTCTCTACATGTTATATCTAGATGTGCAAATTTAACTATCACGCCTTAAAAAGGTTCAGCCAGCTGTAAAATTATTTGAAAATGTGTAATAACTTTATAGCTAGTTTCTAGTCCACTTTAATTTGCACATGTATGTAATCCTGTGACTGAGAGATTGCAGCTGCTGTCATCTCCCAGCCGCTGGGGAGAACAGCTGGGGCTGGGAGATCATGGCCAGTTCTCTTCCCCCAGCTGCAGGATTGCATGGGCCTTCCAGGCAGTGGTTGGGAGATCACAGCTGCTGTGATCTCCAACCATTGTGATCTCCCAGCTGCGGGGTGCTCCAGTCAAGCATGGGATTCTCAGTCCTAGCTACATGTGGGGTGCAGCTGGGACCAAGACCATGAGCTGCAGGGCTCTTGGTTTCAGCTGTGTGTATGTGGCTCAGCCTGGACCAAGAGCTGCAGTAGGTGTGGATTCAGTTCTTGGCTGCATGTGGTTCCCGCAACTGGAAACCCTGTCAGCAAAAGAGGCTCCCAGCTGCAGGAGCCTGCTTTTTGTGAATGCAGGAGGAGCCCAGGATTGGGCTCCCCCTAGACTAGCAATAAGGCAGGCGCAGCTGGTTCAAATGCATGGTCCCGCTATCTCACCTCATGCCATGCATGTGGGGCATGGCAGGAGGCGCAATTGTGTGGATTGTGAATTAGTTCCAATTGTGTCTTTACCTGCATGTATAGAAGGGAGGCTAAGAGCAAGAATGAATTTGTTCTTTGATATGTTTTGATGTCTAGTTGGTCAGTCATAACCCAGACATTTCAAACTTGTTTAAAGTCCATAGGAGCTGAAGGTATTTATAAATGTATAATTTGCAGTCTGCTCATGTTTGGAAAGTTTGGCAAGAATGGTGAAATTCTAACCTTAGTGAAGTTAGCAAAATTCCCATTCAGTCAAAATTACAATTCTACATTTTTTTTCTTTTGTGAACATCTTCGTACTCTATCCAACTGCCATGGAAATTTATCATCTCTACCAACTTCTGACTGGCTTCTGTTATAACTTTTATGTTTAACTGTTTTTTTAAAGCTGCACCATGTAATTAAGGCATTGCAACTGCAGAATGTGCATCGGTTTTATGTGAATATTTTAAGCATGGTATGTGTTGTTTCAGACTAGATATTAATATACTAATATGTAGCTTAAAATAAAATCTGTATTTTTTGGTTTCAGCCAAAAGCAGCCAATGTTCTTGGAGCAGTTAATAAGCCTCTTTCATCAGCAGGCAAGCAATCTCAATCCAAATCTTCACGAATGGAAACTATAAGCAATGCTAGCAGCAGTTCAAATCCAAGCTCTCCAGGAAGGATCAAAGGGAGGTTGGTATACAACAATGCATCTTTGATGCTCAAGTATTTTTAATGAAGCAGCAAGGGTTTCTATATATTTTTAAATTGCTGGACATAATTCTGTTGTTTTATGTTACTGTAAATCCAGAATAACAACCATGCTTGTGTAACCAAACCAAAAGTAGGAAGGAAAAAATGAAAAAGCAGTCTAGAATATTGCATTGAAAGGAATCCCAGATCATATGATGGTACTGTGTAAAATAAAAAAAACACAGATCCAATGTTTCCATCAACCTTGTGTAGTTGACAGCATGGCCATCCACATACTTTTGGCTTATAATGTCTGAATTTAATCATCTAAACTGATCTCCTTCGTTGAAACAGACTGGAGGACTTCTGAGTTAATTCTCATTTGAACTAAAGGATATTTAGAACAGTGTTTCTCAACCCATGGGTTGCGACCCAGAAGTGGGTCACAACAATATTTCAAAGGGTTGTGAGCTGCGGCAGGGCAGAGGGACGGCAGGAAGGTGGCTGCCTCTTCCAGCAGGAGAATGGGGTGGTGGAGAGCTGTGTTGCCAGGCTAGCAGCACTGGGGCCGGTACCCATGCTCATGTGGGTGGGGTGGCTGGAGGCCCTGCTCAGGGGGTAGGAGGGGCCATGACCAGGCTGCCTGGCATGGCACAGCAGCCCCAGCCCAGGGCAGTGGGGTATGCCACAGGCCTCTCTTCCTCCTCCCTCTAGCCCATGCCAGGACTGGAGTTGCTTTGCTGCTGTCTGCATGAGCCAGAGCTGCCAGTCGCCACACTCCGGCCAGAGTGGGACGGGGGCAGCTGGGGGCCCCTCTGGCAGGGTTGGGGGGCAGAGGGGCTGCAGGTTGGGAGTGAGGGACACCAGCGTGGGGGGGGAGGGCAGAGGACTGGGGGTCAGGCACTGGCAGGGCCAGGGCGTGAGAGTCAGGGCAGGCAATGGATCTTTGCAAATGGGTCCTGGTAGGAAAAAGGTTGAGAGCCACTGATTTAGAACAACATCCAGTCTTTATTTCTAATAGTTAATTACCTTCCCTATTAAAAGCACCATATTTCTAGTTGGAGATTTAGATCTTCAGCTCCCAGCCGTTGTGTTTTTACTTTTTGTTTACTAGTTCGAGAGCTTGTTTATCAGAGTTTTGTTCCCCGTGTAGGTAATTAGGCTGTGCTCAAAATATCCCATAACCTTTTTTGATGAGTCAAATTAATCAAGCTCATGGCATCTTTTCACTAAAGACATGTTTTTTCAGTTCTTTAGTCATTCTTATGGCTCTTTATTGAAACCTCTCCAATTTATCAACAATGTTTTTCAACTGCAGACAGCAAAACTGAACACACTATTCCAGTCCACTACAGCCAAATACATGGATAATGTAACCTTCCTCTCCCTGTTTGAAATTCCCCTAGTTATAGTGACAAAGATTCTGTTAACCTTTTTAAATTATCTGTTATGATCCCCAAATCTTTCCAGGGTTGCCGCTTCCTAGGGTAAAGCTTTCTTCCACCACCCAATCTGTGCATGTGGCTTAAATACTTTGTTCATACATGTGTAACTTATATTTAGCTCTGTTAAAATGCATATTGTTTGTTTTTGTCCAGCTTAGCGAGCATTTCATTTCCAAGTAATTGTTCTTTTGTAGTTATTTGTCTGATTCATCATTTAATGCTTACCCTGTCATGTGTGAATTTTATAACCAATTTGGTTTTCTTCCAGTCATTAATGAAAATGTCAAATAGTACATAATTGAGAAATCTGTCCTTTCATACTCCTATCAGATCTTCTCAGTTACCAGCAGCCATAGGTTTAGGTACCTGAGGTTATATCAATGACTGTTAAGTTTAATAGCCCCAGATGGATCTATTCTCCATAAATTTGTCTAAGCCTTTTTGAACCCAGTTACATTGCTTGTCTCCACGATATCCTGTAGCAAGATTTGCTTAAGTTAATTGTGTTTTGCATTTTGCAAGGAAAGTACTTTCTTTTGATTTTTTTTAAAATGTTTTGCCCTATGCTTCCATTGGGTGTCCTTAGTTCTTGTATTATATAGTGAATAATAGAACTTTATGCACTTTTTCCAGACTATTTATAATTTTACATAACTATCATGTTCCCTCTCAGTTGCCTTTTACAAGCTGACTCTAGACTCTTCAGTATTTCCTTACATAGAAGTCCTTCCATGTCCTAATCATTTCTCTTGCTCTTCTCTGTATCTTTTCAAGTTTTAGTTAATCTTTTTGAGTTGGGGTAACCTGGAGACAGTTGTGAGCACATGAATTTATACAATGACATGATAATTATTTACGTTTTATTTTCCATTCCCTTCTCAAGTGTTTCCTAGCGTTCTTTTTACCCCTTTGACTACCACTATAATAGTAAGACTTGTTTTTATTGAATAGTGCCCCTAAGATTTCTCTTGAGTGGTAATTTTGAACTCTGAGCCTTTCATTGTGCATGTGTACTTGAGGTTATTTTTCCGCATGTGCATTACTTTGCATGCATTTATGTTGAATTTCATCTGCCATCTTACTGCCCACTGACTCAGTTTATTTTGTGGGTAGTCTGTTCCAGTGCTTAAGCACCTTCACAGTGAGAGAGTTCGTCCTAATAGCCAACCTAAATTTCCATTGTTGTACTTTAAGATCATTGATTTGTCTTGTCTACTGCAGCCACACAGAATAGGCTTTCTCCATCATCTTCTTTATAACCACCTTTCAGGTATTTCAAGTTCTGTTCTCCAGACTAAATAAGGCCATTTGATTCAGCCTTTACTCCTAAGGCATGTTTCCCAGACTTCTAATCATGGTCTTTGCTCTATGCTGGACTCTTTCCAATCTGTTCAGAACTTTCTTGAAGTGTGGGGCCCAAAACTGGACACAGTACTCCCGGTGATGCCTCACCTGTGCTGAATAAAATGCACGGATCTTTTCACTTGACTTGGAAGCAGTATTTCTATTAATGCAGCGTATGCTGTTTTTTTGCACAGGAACAACACACTGTTGGCTTATAATAATCTTATGGTTCACTGTAACTCCCAGGTCCTTCTATACAGTATTACAGTCTAGGTGGTCTTTCCCCAGTTTGTATTTATACTTGCACTTGCCCTTATTTCTTAGACGTTAGGGCTGGAAGGAACCTCGGAAGATCGAGTCCAGCCCATTGCCCCAGGGGCAGGAAATCAGCTGGGGTCACAGGATCCCAGCAAGATAAATGTCCAATTGACTCTTAAAGGAGTCCATAGTAGGTGCTTGCACCACCTCTGGCGGCAGTCTGTTCCAGGTCCCGGGGGCTCTGACAGTAAAGAAGTTAATTTGATTGTTTTAGATTTTAGGGAGGAGAGGGGAGTGGGTATGGATTATTTTTCCAGTTTATCAAGGTAATTCTGAATCCTCATTCTACCCTCCATAGATTCATAGATGTTAGGGTTGGAAGGGACCTCAGTAGAACATCGAGTCTGACCCCCTGCATAGGCAGGAAAGAGT